GGACTGGGACGGTCTGAGCTTGTACTGGGACGGTCTGAGCTTGGACTGGGACGGACTGGGACGGTCTGAGCTTATACTGGGACGGACTGGGACGGTCTGAGCTTATACTGGGCTGGACTGGGACGGTCTGAGCTTGTACTGGGACGGTCCGAGCTTGTACTGGGACGGTCTGAGCTTGTACTGGGACGGTCTGAGCTTATACTGGGCTGGACTGGGATGGTCTGAGCTTGTACTGGGCTGGACTGGGACAGTCTGAGCTTGTACTGGGACGGTCTGAGCTTGTACTGGGCTGGACTGGGATGGTCTGAGCTTATACTGGGCTGGACTGGGACGGTTTCAGGTCATACTGGGCTGGACTGGGATGGTCTGAGTTTATACTGGGCTGGACTGGGGTAGCCTGGGTTTATACTGGACTGTGCTGGGTCCTACTTGGCTGTACTGGGTTATAGTGGGTTGTACTGGGTTATAATGGTCTGTACTGGGTTACATTGGGCCATACCGGGTTAGATTGATCTGTACTGGGTTAGACTGGTCCGTACCGGGTTAGACTGGTCCGTACCGGGTTAGACTGGTCCGTACTGGGTTAGACTGGTCGGTACTGGGTTAGACTGGTCCGTACTGGGTTAGACTGGTCGGTACTGGGTTAGACTGGTCCGTACCGGGTTAGATTGGTCCGTGCTGGGTTAGACTGGTCCATACTGGGTTAGACTGGTCCGTACTGGGTTAGACTGGTCCGTACTGGGTTAGACTGGTCCGTGCTGGGTTAGACTGGTCCGTACCGGGTTAGATTGGTCCGTGCTGGGTTAGACTGGTCCGTACCGGGTTAGATTGGTCCGTACCGGGTTAGACTGGTCCGTACCGCATTACGCCAGGCTGTACTGGGTTAGACTGGTCCGTACCGGGTTAGACTGGTCCGTACCGGGTTAGACCGGTCCGTACCGGGTTACGCCGGGCCGTACCGGCGCTGGGGCCGTGGATCGGTGCCCTCATGGAGCGGTTCGTGGCGGGGAGCCGGGCGGCGCTGCAGGTACGGGGCCGTGACGTGTTCTCCCTGTGAAACCTCACGTTTTGGGGCGACGGCCAGCCCCGAACTCAGAACTATGGCCTGAAGCCCTCGGTGCTCCCAGGGCTCCCTGCACGTCCCGGGCCTCACCTGGGGCTCGGGCGAGTTTTCTTGGAGCGCTGAGGCGCACCCCAAACCCCTGAGGCGGATCCCGGCCAGGCCCAGGGGTGCCAGGAGCCCGCCCAGAGGGTGCAGTCAGTGGGTGACACCGGTGACGAGTGGCTCCGGGGACGCTGCTGAGGGCAAGGTCGGAGGTTTCTGGAGGACGGGGCCGCGTCGCTGCCGTGCCCGACATCCTCCCGTCCCCGCAGGACCACGTCCGGCAGCAGCGGGAGATCCACGTGGTGATGGGCAACGAGGCCTGCGACCTGGACTCCACCGTCTCGGCGCTGGCCCTGGCCTATTTCCTAGCCCAGGTGAGGCTCGGCCGCTAGCCCGGGGACCACCGGTGGCCTGGGGGGGACGCCTCACCGGCCGTGACCCCCCTGCCGCCGCCGCAGACCGCCCCGGCTCCCAAAGCCGCCTTCGTGCCGGTGCTGAACATCCCCCGCGCCGACCTGGCGCTGCGGACGGAGACGACGTTCCTGCTGCGGGAGCGGGGAATCCCGGCCGCCGCGCTCGTCTGCCGGGATGAGATCGACCTGGGGCGGCTGCACCACGCCGGGCTGCTCTCCCTGACGCTGGTGGATCACCACGTCCTGCCCGGGTGAGCCGGCGGGGTGGCATGGTGGGGACAGCCAGGGACACCCACCCAGAGCCTGGCTTGATTCTGCCACGCAGGGTGGGTGGAATTGATTCATCTCCGGGGAGTTTTTAGGAGGGGAACAAAACCAATATGGGGGTTCCCAGGCTCTGCCAGGTGTGACCCTTCTGGTTGCCCACCAGTGCCGACGCTGCCCTGGAAGAGGCCGTGGTGGAGGTGGTGGACCACCGGCCGCTGGAGCGGCACCGCGGTGCCCCGTGCCGGGTGACCGTGGAGCCCGTGGGCTCCTGTGCCACGCTGGTGACCGAGCGGATCCTGCAGGGCCCCCCGGGCGTGCTGGACGCGACCACGGCTGCGCTGCTGCACGGTGAGCGCGGCGGGGTGCCGGCTGAGCCCCGGGGATGGGGACGGTGACAACACGGCCCCGCTCGTCCCTGCAGGCACCATCCTGCTGGACTGCATCAACCTGAGCCCGGCCGCGGGCAAGGTGACGCCCAGGGACGTGGCCTGCGTGTCCCTGCTCGAGGAGAGGTTCCCGGAGCTGCCGGCCCGCGACGCCGTGTTCGGAGCCCTGCAGGCGGCCAAGTTTGATGTCACAGGTGTGTGTGGGCGCCAGGGCAGCGGCACCCAGGTGTGTCCCCCTCTCCTTGGGACGGGAGGGTGCCCTGGGCCTCATCCCCTGGCCACCTCCCAGGGCTGACCACAGAGCAGATGCTGCGGAAGGACCTCAAAGTCATCTCCAATGACGAGGCGGTCGTTGGCATCAGCGGCGTCTTCGAGGATCTGGAAGTGAGACTTGGGGCTGAGGGGGAAACTGAGGCAGGGAGTGGCACGCTGGGGACATCACGGTGACGCTGAGGCCTCTTCCCTTTGTTCAGACGTTCCTGCTCCGGCCTGGCTTGCTGCAGGACCTGGAGACTTTCTGCCAGGCCCGTGGCTACGCGGGGCTGGTGGCCATGACCGTGTCCTTCAACGAACGCCACGAGCCCACGCGGAAACTCGCGGTCTACAGCGCGCGGGAGCCCCTCCGCAGCACGGTGAGTCGGGGGGCCGGGCTCGGGCATCTCCGGGCTGTCCCCAGCTGTGCTTTGCCCCAGAAGCTCCCTTTTTTGGGGGCGCTGGGCAGGTCCCAGCCCCACGCTCGCTCGCCCGCAGCTGTGCCAGGCGCTGGAGGAGGCGACGGCGCCGCCGCTGCTCCTGCGGCCGCTGCCGAGCCCTTGGCCCTGCGTGGCCGCCTACGCCCAGGGCAACGCCGTGGCCGCCCGCAAGAAGGTGCTGCCCATCCTGCGGGCAGCGCTGGGGGGTCTGGGGGCTGCCGGGGGTCCCGAGGAGGAGGTGGTGCCCCCGCCCACCCCCATGAACAGCCTGGTGGAGGAGTGTCCCCTGGCGCAGGCCGTGCCCCCGCTGTGTCCCCAGGACGTCCTGGAGCGGGTCAGCCGCATCGCCGTGGGGCAGCCCCCCGGCTCCCCGAAGTAGCAGCAGGCACCTCGTGGCTTTTTGAGGTCTGGATGAGAGGTTGGGGTCCCTGGGCAGGCCCCCGGTGGGGTGCCTGGGTGTGGGGCGGGGTTGCAGCTGCCTTTTTTAGAGCTCAGCTCCCGGTCCTTGCCGTGGTTTGTCCCCCCCAATGGCTCCCCGTGCCCCAGTGGTCGCCAGGGTGGCTTTTTGGGGATGCCACGGGCAGCAGTTGCACCCCCTTAATGAAGGCGTTGGGGTGGGGGAGTTAACGAGTTCTTGATGATCTTCCTTCCTTGGGGGGCAGCGGGGGGCCCCAGAGGGTGGGTCCGGACATGCAGCCGTCCAGAAGTGTCAGTTTTCCAAGGATTAAATTTCCCTTTTCTTCCAGTTTTGACTCTGGTTTTTATTCTGGGACGGGGTGCTGCCCCACTCGAGCTGGGGGTGCACCCCCCCTTTCCCTGGGGTGCAATCCCCTCTACAGTGGGTCAGAGGAACATTTTGGGGTGTCCAAGGAGGGGGTGTCAGTGCAGCCACACTCCCGAGTCCAACCCAGCCAGGAGGAAACTGGTTGTGCCATAAAAAGTCGTGGCCTCTGCCTGCTGGGAATGTCAGCGGGCTCGGCTTTTCCCTGTGGATTTGGCTGCTCCAGGAGCAGAGGAGAGGGAGCGAGGAGCCTGGAGCAGCTTGTGCACCCACCCCTTGGGCCAGCACAAGGCATTTATTTCAAAGGTGGAATGTTTTTTTCCCCAAAACCCCTGACCCGAGTGTGCCGTGGGGCTGGAAAAGCCCGGCTGCCGGCAGAGCATGGCCGGAGCTCAGGGCAGGGGAAAGGCTCTGTCACCCAGCACGTGCTATTTAATATTTAATCCTGGCGCTAATTAAACTATGTACAGCCGCGCCTGAATTCCGGAGCCCTTCTCGGCTCAGGCCCTGTCTGGCCGGGACCGGGGCCAATCCCGGGTGGAGGGGACCCCCCCACGGTCCTGCCCGAGGCGATGGAGGCTGCTCAGGTGGGTTTTGGAGCTTAAAAATAAGAAGAGATCCTAGAAAAAGGAGGGAGGTGGGAGTTTGGCGGCGGTGGGAATGCCAGCCGGAGGCACTGTGGGCTCGGTGACGCCGGGACAGCCGAGCGTTGGGGTTGGATCCTGGTTTGGCACCGAAGCGTCGGGGTTTAATCCCGCTTTTGCTCCGAAGAATCGGGGTTTAATCCCAGGTTGACATCGAATCCTGGTTTGACACCAGAACATCTTGGGTTTCATTCTGGTTTGGCGCCAGAATATCAGGGCTTATTCCTGGTTTTGCTCCTGCGTGATGTTCTGGGAGGCATCAAATCTGCCTCTGCACCATGAGTGATTCCCTGGGGAAACTGAGGCACCACCACGCAGCCCATGGGAGACAAGGGAGTGGGCAAAGGGAAAACTGGGAGAATCTGGGACACGTGGGCTGCGCCTGGCAGCTCCTGGCGCGTTTCAGAGGGTGGCTGTGTCCTTTCCAGGTGGGGCAGGAGATGGGGGCTGCTGTCCCCGCTCCCTCCCCATGTCACCGGCCAGGGCCTCCGGGAAGGAGGGATTTTCCAGAGGGACGACGACCCAAAGTCCCCGGGAGCTGGGTGAGGACGGTGCTGCATAAATACCGCGGGGTTAAAGCACTCAAGGTCGGCTTCTCCTCCAGCGGGGGGATCAGGCAGTTCAAGTTTGGGCTGAAAAAGCCAGGAATCTGCAAAATCCCAGAGGATGGGTTATGGGAGGGCCCAAGTGGTGGCTCCCTTGGGTGTTCCTCAGAGCTGGTGGCTCTGGGGGGATGCTGGGGGTGCCACGGGCTGGTACTCACACGCTACAACACACGGGAGTTGCTCCACTGTCGCTCCCGGCCGCCCTTGGACCTCATCTCCTGGACAGCACCAGTCTG